TAAATGTGTGTGACATTACAAAAACATGCTAAGAATTCACATGCATCCGTGATAATGAGTTAAGAATCAAATCAAGTTACAGAAATAATCATTTATTTCATTAAACCAATTTTAGAAATAAAAGACTTGTGCGAAGCAATTACTTCATAAAACATACAAATGCAAGTGGACTCAAATTTGACTGGCCATGAGGCTGCGAATTCTGGTATATTCCCGTGATGTTACACACCTCTCAATATAGACCACAGTTCTTTTTTTTTTTTTTTAATTCTATGACCCAACAGAAGTAAGCGATCATGGCTCTCTACAGATTCCGTTTCTTTTTGTCTATGAATTTCCACAGTTTATTGGGAAATACAGCGAAATGGCCTTCTCCAGAATATTGAATTCAAAATAGTTATTCTAGAGCAATGTTTCTCAAACTTTTTAAGCAACGGCACACTAGGAGCAAATGAAAATATCACAGCACACTTAGAAAAAATTTTAAAAGATATACATTTAAATGTTATGAAATAAAACCATAGATTAAAAAAAAATACACATACAAATATGAACTTTATTTCATTGTTTCTATTCAACTATTTGTGCAGCTTATTCAGTGCGAAACCTGTGCCTGGTGTTTTTTCACGATTTCTTCAATGTTTCACGGCACGACTGTCAAGACTCACTGTCTTAGACTGTCTTCCAATCAGGATTAGAGAGCAGAGTTTAGCCTGCTATTTAACCCATAACATAAAATCGATTTAAGCTTTCCTATGGTAGAACCGGCAAGAGGAGTTCAAATCTCGGAGTAATCTCTCGCGTTCACTATGCTTTAGGAAAAGCAGGAATCCATCTCATCAGTGGATTGAGTTTCAACCAATCTAAGAGGACTATTTGAATAAAACGTGGAGAAAGCAACAGGAAGCAATTCCACTATATTTCTCAAGAAGTGTTGATAACTACGCCATCTGCCCGTCACTATCGACTACAGTACTTATCAAATTTTTTTTACAATGAACAGAAACGGTCGTGTTACTTTCTTTTTATGTGCTATGTCCTTTCAGGACGTAGGCGATCATGGCTCTTCACTTCGACACTCCATGTCGTCCGAAGTATCCTCTTCAAATGCAAGAAAATTGTCCAAAATTTATTGCCATATAAGATTTATATTAGATGGCAGTTTAGCACTCTTTATTTCTAGTGAGATTTTCTAGTTTCTTAACCCTGGTGTTTTGTTATTCCAATTTTTTTTTTGCAGTACTCGTAATTCCTAGCTGGTAACTTGTTTCTTTTGCTCCCTCCCACTACTCTCCTGGCCCAGGGGGTGTAGCATGTGGTACGGCACAGTTGTTGTGAGAGACAGACGCCAGGTGACAATCTATTGTCGGAAATCCGAAGTGACTAACGCAGGGTTAAGATTTTAATTGCTGCCGAACGATAGAAAAACAAATGTCACAGTGTAGAGCAGTGGCTCTCAAGCGGTGCGGTGCGGCGCGCCTTATAGGTGCGATGGAAGAGGTTAGCAGGTGGGGCAAAGATTTAGAAGACCAGAAAACATTTAGAAAGTTTTTAAAAATTAATATGCAAAATAAATGATTTCAAAATGTAAAATATTATTATGGATTACTTGTAATTGCATGCATGAGTCCCAGTATAGTTATAAATAATTATTGACTGATTTTATCATCATGATGTTTTGCATTATACCAAGTATTAATATAGTGACTAGGGTCCGCAAATTGGAGGAGAGAGTTATCAATGATAAGGTTCTGACTTCGAATTCGCAATTATCTCCCTTTAACCCTCCATCTTTTTTTTTTTTTTTTAATGTACTTTTCATCACATGAAATTTGGTAAGGTGCGAGCAAATTTTCATTCCGAAAATGCGGCCCAGAGAAAAAAAGTTTGGGAACCATTGGTATAGAGGGTTCATTCTCCGCCGAGTATCACATTTTTCGCATTATGCAATAGGCTTTTATATTTTCCGCTTGGCAAAACATATTTCCTGTATAAGTCAGTAGTGAATTCGGAATTAAATTTTGTTTAAAAATTCATCGTATTCCTAGTCGATTAACTCCAACTGATATTTTCTGCCACTTGCTCCACAAATAAATTAGATAGTGTCCAGGTGTTAAGTTGGTGGGCCGGACATAAATCCTTCCTAAAGCCGAGGGTTGCCGACCAGTTTTACAAGAACGGCATGTATACATATTGCTATTATTTGATTAATATCCTTAATCCGTTGCTATATTTCTTGTTACAAAGAAAATTAAAAATTCGTTACCCCTCTACCGTCCAATCAATTATCAGTGTGGAGCAGATCATCACATGTAAAGAAAATCAATCCTCCCTTAAACGCCTCTTACAGATCAATTACGGGGTGTCTGAAGCCAACCAAAGTAGATGACCGCTACTTGCTTTGCATCAGAAGGACAGTTCACTAACAATCTGAGATGTTGGTAGCAGGAAACTGACCTTCGTCATCCACTCCACGGCTGTGAACCAACGACAAAGAGGCTAAAGTCAACGCATCTTTCTATATTCAGTCGAATCATTGAACAACGGAGCTCCAAGTCAGCGTCGCCCCCCCCCAAAAAAAAACACTTTATTTTAGAGACTTAAAAAATAATTTATATATAGCTTTGTGACCAACTTCCATATGTGAATCAGATATAAAATTTATTAATTCTAGAAGAATTGTTCGAACTATTGTACCGTTGTGTCTTGCTTCAGTTTCTGGGGCAGCTTCGAGTGATCATTGTGTCCTGATGCAGAATAAGTGTCATGACCAAAAAATAACACCGTTATTATATATATATATATATATATATATATATATATATATATATATGCCTACTGCCCAGTTCATACACCTTCCCTGTCTTTTGAACAGAAGTTAAGGTTTATCCCTTGTTTCCTGTTTAAGATTGCGTTACCCGTTTCTTCTAAAATCTTCTCATCCCCCTTTCACTCCCAGTAACCCTAACGTTTTAGTAGCATTATCGCCTTGCTTGTGAGGAAATGATTAACACACACACAAACATTTTATATATAAGAAATATTTGCCTACCGCCCAGTTCACACTCCTTCCCCGTCTTTTGAACAGAAGTAGATATTTATCCATTGTTACCTGTTAAGGATTAGGTTTCTGAATCCTTCTCCGAAAGGATTTTCATTCACTATCAGTAACCCCTTGCGTCTTAGTAGCAAGTTGCTTTGGTGATTATATATATATATATATATATATATATATATATATATATATATATATATATATATATATAAAAATCACGAACAATGAAAAACAGTTGAAGGTACGAGTTTGCTTTTATTCATTAGCTTCGTTCAACGACTGCCACTAGATTTTGGTAATGGGGCAAAGAGAACAGTCTCAAATAGGGTTCCTCATCGCCGGAGTGGACTCTTAGTTGACAAAACGGTTCCTCTTTTATAGAGTTTGTATTCTTTTTTCTTGTTAGCTCAATTATGAAAAATTTAGATTACATTTGTTCGGTGATCGCTGTGTCTTGATGCCGAAAAAAATGGTGCGACTGAAAGGTGACCCCGTTGTCGGAAAAATATTATGGACGACGAAAGAAGAGTTTCAAATAGGGTTTTCCATTGTACCATTCACCAATCAAATCGGAGTTTGGACTTTTTTTCTCCTCAGATTGGCCAGGAAAAAAAAGTTCCCTCTCTTCTTCAGAATTATAATATAGATAAGAATGTCCCTTCTTTGAGCTGCCATACCCAATAAAAGGGTCATTTTTCAAATGCCTAGATCGTTTAACGAGCATCATTGTATATTGCGACGCTGTACGATACATCTGCCTGCTGATTGAAACAGTTATGTATTATTATTCACTTCAGCCGGTGCTCGAGCCTAAATAAACAATTCGACAACTGATTCTCAAGGCAGTCAGATTAGAAGCTTGACGCAACACAATCTTCCTAATCTATTTTCCATCCTACTTAGTCCTTAATCCGTACTGAACAAACCATAAATGTTTGTGTATTTCCCACCGTCGCCAGCGGTTGTGGTTCGAGCCTAGTTAAAAAAAAAAAAACAAAAACAAAAACAAAAAAACAAGAATGCTGATTTTCAAGGCTAACAATATTTTCCTCTTGAAAGATTGACGTACCACAATCTTCCTAATCTATTTCGCTCTCTAATTAAAAGTAAGCCCAATTTTTGTATTTTTCCTCCATCACCAGCGGCCGGTGTTCGAACCTAGTTAAAAACGAGGATGCTGATTTTCAAGGCTGGATGATTGGCGTTACACAATTTTCTTAAACTTTTTGGTCTTGTGCTGTTCTCCGCTTAGTAAATATAATGCAAAGAAAACAAGATTAGAAATAACGTAGGCAGTTGGGTCTGTGATTATAATTTCTTGAAATCTAAGACAAAAGTTCGTCATCCTCTAAGTTCTAGTGCTCGAAACTGTTGTACAAACTATAAATAAATACATTGCGTCACTTTCCAAGCGTGGGAGATTGTTGTAATGTAGTCTATACACTGCTGGAAGATTCTGTGCTTTATGCAAACTAGTCAGGCCATTTAGAATGTTCTAGATAATGGTAGAATATCTGCAGATAAGTAGCATCAGCATACAGAGTTTTGCGAGGTGGGGTAGGGCGCTTCTGGTCTGTTATAAAAACATGTAAATTGGCATGTCTCCACAATTTCGCTCAAGTTGAGACAGCGAACAGAAGCAAATCGCATTCCAACTTGTTTGCTGATAATCACTCAAGTTGATTACTAATTCTTCAGTGGCAATTATTTTCATAATAACTTTTGCGTCGCCAACACAACACATATTGTTAATATTTGCACAAGAAACGCGTTCCGTAAAAAAGAAAAAAAGAAAAAAAATCTGTCAACTTTTAAAACCTCAAAAGTCTATCGGGCTTTAAGCTTCGCAGCTACACCGTTCATCAGCATCGATAACATTTTTTACTTTCAATTTGTAATACTGAGCACTTTGTTTACCAAAATTATTTTTTAAAACTCTACAATTATGTCTACTGCGATTGGGATCGATTTAGGGACCACCTATTCATGTGTGGCAGTATTTCAACATGGAAAAGTTGAGATAATTGCAAATGATCAAGGTAATCGAACTACGCCAAGTTATGTCGCGTTTACCGACTGTGAACGATTGACGGGAGACGCAGCTAAAAACCAGGCCTCCTTGAACCCGGAAAATACCGTATTCGACGCAAAGCGATTAATTGGCCGAAAATTCACTGACCAATCCGTCCAGAGTGACATGAAGCATTGGCCGTTTAAAGTTGTGAACAGCCCTGGCGACAAACCACAAATTCAGGTCGAGTTCAAAGGAAACCAAAAACTTTTCTCTCCCGAAGAGATCAGTTCGATGGTGCTGGGCAAGATGAAAGAAACAGCAGAGTCTTATCTCGGTAAAAAGATTACAGATGCTGTGGTCACAGTTCCCGCTTATTTTAACGATTCCCAAAGACAAGCCACTAAAGACGCGGCTTCAATTGCAGGCCTCAATGTACTGCGAATTGTCAACGAACCCACAGCGGCAGCTCTTGCTTACGGACTTGACAAGAATCTTTCGAAAGTGAAGAATATCCTCATCTTTGATTTGGGTGGAGGTACATTCGACGTTTCTATCTTGACCATCGACGAAGGTTCTCTGTTTGAGGTGAAGGCTACGGCCGGAGACACGCATTTAGGGGGCGAGGATTTCGACAATAGAATAGTCGACTATTTTGTGCAGGAATTTCAACGAAAGTATCACAAGAACCTCAAGGACAACCCGCGTTCAATCCGACGCTTACGCACCGCCTGTGAACGTACCAAACGAACCCTGTCGAGCAGCACGGAAGCAAGCCTCGAGATCGAATCCCTTTATCAGGGTATTGATTTTTACTCGAAAATCACCCGGGCACGTTTCGAAGATCTTTGCAGCGACCTATTCCGGACAACTCTTGAACCGGTGGAAAAAGCATTAAATGACGCCAAAATTGACAAATCCAGTATCCATGAGATTGTTTTAGTCGGCGGTTCTACAAGAATCCCGAAGATCCAGAAAATGCTCCAGGAATTTATGAATGAAAAGTCACTTAATAAATCTATAAACCCCGACGAAGCGGTTGCATATGGAGCCGCTATCCAGGCAGCCGTCCTTAGTGGAGATACAAGCAGTTCGATTAAAGATGTCCTATTGGTTGATGTGACTCCGTTGTCTTTAGGAATAGAGACCGCCGGTGGAGTAATGTCTAAAATTATCGAACGCAACACCCGCATCCCAAATAAGACCTCCCAGCCTTTTACTACTTACTCGGACAACCAATCAGCTGTGTGTGTCCAGGTGTATGAGGGGGAGAGAGCAATGACCAAAGATAACAATTGCCTCGGTAGATTTGAACTGACCGGCATTCCTTTAGCGCCGAGAGGAATGCCAAAAATTGATGTTACATTCGATCTGGATGCCAACGGCATTCTAAGCGTATCGGCCGAAGAAAAGAGCACGGGCAAAGCAAATAAGATCACAATCACCAACAACAAGGGACGCTTGAGTAAAGAAGAAATCGATCGAATGATGGCCGAAGCTGAGCAATATCGCGAAGATGATCAAAGACAACGCGAACGAATCGAAAGCAGAAACCACTTGGAGAATTATTTGTTCAGTGTAAGACAAGCCGCGACTGAGTGCAGCGACAAACTCTCTGAAGATGAGAAAAAGACGATAATGGATAAAACAGACGAGACGCTGTTGTGGCTTGAAAACAACAATTTGGCTGAAAAGGACGAATTCGATCATAAACTACAAGAAGCTCAAAAAGAATTTTCTCCCTTCATGACGAAATTACACAGTTCTTAAATTACGATTTTTTCCCCCACTCAGAATCATTAAAAAAAAAAAAAAAAATTCTCATTGCTAAAAGAAAAAAAAAATTTAAAAGATTTATTTTCTGGATTATCTACGTACACTGCAATTTTCGCAAAATGAAGACGTTAATGAAAGTAAGGTAAAATTGCTTAAATTTTTTATTTCTGATGCGAGATTTAAAATATTCTCGAAAATATTACCGTATCTTCAAAATTAATTTTATGCTAAAGCATATCTTATTCAAATACAATGAAATTACTAAAAAGCTTTCACAAAAATATTTCTGAAGCAAGAGACCTATCGCTATGTACAGATTGCAAACTGCAATAAGACTGTTTAGTGTTTAGTTTAGATAAAAGTTTTTTTTTTTAAATAAGCAACTCGTTTTATAAGCAACTGTATTTAGAGTTGAATAAATCTTCAGCATCTCCAATACTGATTTACCAACTCACAAAAAAAGAAAAAGAAAAGAATAACAAAAACAGTTGCGTTTTTGTTTACTGTAGGCAACAATTCTACTCACTAATAATGAGCATAAAAACCATTTAAGCAATCCGACTATTGGTGAAAATCCATAGTTGGTGATAAAAAGAAAACTGGTATCGAAAAAGAGTGAATAATTTTAATCATCAATAACTGTCATGTTGCCTACAATATTGCAGCTATTGATCATCTGGTGTTTAAAAAATCGCTTATTAAAAAAAAAAAAAAAAAAAAATCTTATTTACAAGATTATATATATCTTTGTCTCTTGGAATGTTTAATAAATTATTTATTCCTCTCTTAACATTTCCCTATAATGTTTAAATGCCAAAATACTGCATTACCATTATATTGCCCTTTTAATCTTGGCAAAAGAGTTTTTGCTCGAATCGATTAAAAAAAAAAAAAAAAAAAAAAAAATCACTCATAAATTTACTCACATTGATTTACCTCCCTTCCCACTACTGATCTGACAGGAAATATATAAATAAATAAACATTGATAATTATTATATGGCTTGGTGAGTATGTCAATCGCTCACTAATGGATATAACATCAGGCTAAATTACACTAAATATTATTTTTACACCAGCCCAATTGTGTAATATTTAGTCGAACTTTCATATTCTAAAACTAAAAGTGTGCAACAGATGTTTATTCTTCATATGCTTAAAATATCACTAGAACCTAAAATTCACAATTCTTTAAGTGTTGGCTAAACTAAAAAGAAACAAAGAAAAAAGCTAGAGAGATTTCATTAGTATATTGTGAACATACATACAGCAGCTATTTGGAGAGTGAGATTTAACAAATGTTATAAGTTAAACAGTAATGGCTAGCTGTTTATTTCCATATACAGGATGCGATAGGCAAACTGTCGTGATATATAAATCTATTTTATTCACTCATGTAGAATTCATCTTAAAATTATTATGCATACGTTTACGGTTTAAATGTTGGATATCTCTTCCATGTATGATATCCAGGTATAGCATTTAAAGAAATATTATAAAATTACATACAACTGAAAATGAGTAGAATAATAAAATATGGAATGCCAACAACAGCCAGGAGACGAGTAGAATTCAAGAATTAAATTGATATATAACTGAATAAATTTTATGGCCATTGTTGGCTGCTCGTTAAAGCTCTCCGACGGTCATCCTCTTCTCACGGGATTTTTTTAAAGAATCTTTTTTTTCCATTTTTACGTTATTTTTCTTTTGTTGCACAGAAAAATTGAAAATTACTGCTCTAAACCAGTGATTCCCAAACTTTTGGGTTTGCCGCCTACCCCCCCCCGCATACCAAAACACTATCTCCTCCTATCTATAGACACAATTCTAATGACCCCCCACACACACTAAATGAATAGTCAACCTTTGACTTGATTTTCTTGGTGCTAGTATTATTACATGTCAAATGAGTATCTTAGCATTTCCCATTATTTACATTGTATCCCATTGGGATACAATGTAAACTTTACTGTATCAGATTTAACAATTATCTTGCCTTCACTTTACAGTGAAAAGTGAAGGCAAGATACACCACACACATATTGTACATGAAGTTTATGTTATGGTTCATCAGATATGACACTGCCACCTTCTAGTTGAATATTTCCACCGCCTTAGAGAGGAAGCGGTTCCGTCGACTTTGTGAATCACTGCTGTAAACGATCTCTAAAAAGCAACATTAAATTTCCACATTTACAATTCACTAACATTTCTTTACCTAGCCTCAGAAAAAATAAAAATAAAATTATAAATTATTCTGTTTAAGTTCTTTCTCATTGAAACGAATCGTCAGTAGCGTTTCTGCATAAACGCGCCTCTTCAAATAATTTTTTTTTTTTTTTTTCAAATTTCTTTTGCACATTCCTATCGAATATGCACTCAAGATCACGAATATTGAAGACATTTTTGGTTTGAAATTTTCAAAATTTTTAAGAGGCGGAGGAGTACAGTTATTGTAAATTCATTGTAAAATAGATTCCTTGCACAAGCCAAAAATGTTCCTACCACGTGATAAAATATTTTCTTACCTGAAAAGTTAAAAAATTAATTACTTATTTTAAATCATTTTCTTACCCTTTCCCTGTGTTATGTGATAGTGATAATAATACTTACATACAAAATTTCAATAATTTTCAAACAGCTGCGAAATATGATTTTTTTAAAAAAATGTATTGTTATTTTTACAGTTTCTCTCTGTTAAACAAAATGATTGGCGTAAACTCTTCCAATATTTTTCAACACTTAAAGAGTTTTTAATTCTTAAATATTATTATTATTTATTCTCTTAACTTTTTTTTTTATTTGCATAGGGGGGAGATACAATGAATTTAATTTACATAAATAACTGAGCCCATGCCTTAAAAAACATTTTGAATTTATTCCTGATCTGGAGAGATTAATCGATGGGTATTGTAAAGGAAAAATGTTTAAAAAATAAAAATAATTGAAGAAGTATTTCTTTGGGGATCACATGTAGAAAGTATAGAAAGATCTTGTTTTAACAATTTCGCAAAGACTTGTCCGATTAAAAAAAAATTACACAACTCATGAGCGCAGGTGGCAAGCTAATCTGACTGATCATCACTACTGTGTAGTGAATTCGATCCTCACTGGGTGCATCATAATTGTGGTCTTCTTTACACTATATACGGATTATTGCCTTCATCTTTGTTGTTATCACAACGTTTCGGCCGTTGTTCCCTCCGGTTTTCATCAGGTGTATATATCGATTTGGGTAATCTAAAGAACTAAATCCTCATCTAGTGCTTATTTTTAGTACTGCTCATTTATTACTCGCCCGCTTCTGAGTCCAAGTACATACTGCCCAATCCAGAAATTGAACTCACTATTACTATGTTACCAAATTCACGAACCAACGTTTTTTTTTAATCCATTGAGCTATTGTAGTATAACTGAGCAGTCCTAAAAATAAGAACTAGACTTGGCAAGAACAGTTCAACCCGTAGATTAAATATAGAATTTCAGAATTCTCTACAGGCTACCCAGACCGATATACACCTGATGAAGACCGGGGGCACAACGACCGAAACGTTGTAATAACAACAAAGATAAGGTAAAAAAAGACAATAGTCCGAATACGAATAGTGTAAATAATAACTCCTCATACCAGAAATTCAGGCAAAAATTTTGGTCTTGTACCAAACTAAGTTAAGTAAAGGATGAATTGATTCTCTGTCCGCCCCACTATGTGCATATCACTTTTCCTAAGCATAATGTATGCGTTGTATAGAAGTCACTAAATGTGCTTGTACCATTTACAGAAACAAATACACAATTTGAATGAGGTTGAAAAAACATTGGAATAATGCATTGTCCCCCGACGAAGTCTGGACAACCCCAACCCAGAACTGAGCAATAAAATCATAAGATTGGAGACAAAAAATAAAATTTAAACCCTTAAATAAGATTTTATTAAACTTTACGGAAATTTGTTAGTTTTTAGAAATATTTAAATTGGCTTGCTATCTACAAGAAAAAAATATCTATACCGTACAAATTTTATTTTGGAATGATATCCGCATAGTAAAACAAAGAAAATGTAATTAAAATATTTTTTTCTTTTATATTCTAGAGATAAAAACACGCTGTTGGTGCTACTATAGCGTGAGGTCTACCTCCCGTTTTTCATGTGTTTTAGAAAATGCGAAACCTCACCTAACGGCAACGTTTATTTATTTTAAAAAAACTTAATACTTTTTTCTGATGAATTTATTTTAGTTTTATGGACAGAATTTAGATTTTAAATTTGATCATCTTGCTTTCAGCGAAGCAATAGGTACCGAACAAGTGTTTTAGTTTTCTGCAGGGCGCCTTACCGATGGCGTCATAAGTTGGGAAGCTTGTCTTGCAGATCATTACTGGCGAGTTCGATTCCCACTGGATGCTTCATTCTTGTGCCGAAACTAAGTGACACTTGGTAAATAATTCTGGGAATATGAGATGTAATGGTTAATGAGATTGACAATTATTACCAAATAGGAACTTCGTTCCACGCTAAACTAAATTAATATTTAGTAAATTTAAATAACTTTCCACCGCACCTTCCCCGTTAAAACAAAAAAAAAAAAAAAACACACATCTATTTCGGTCGGGTAACTCTAACGTGCTTACTGCATCAAAGCGATAAATTCTTTGGATTCGCCTTGGCTTGCATACAATGACAAAGGTGTGTGTAGTCATTATGGAAAACTCGACAGCTTGTAAGGGGGGGGGAGCTTTATAGTTTGTAAAAGAAAGAAAGAAAATTGCTTAAATTGGTGAAGAAGAAAGTTGAATATTTCAGAAACAAAGAACAAAGCAACGTTTTAAAAATGTTTACAATTCAGGTGTTCCCAACGGGATTTAAATCCGAAGAAAATTTTAATGTTATTTTTTTTCATTTTAATTTTATTACATCAAGTCTACAAAATATATTGGCAAATAAAATTAATGTTACACAAGATAATTTATTCGACTTTTTAAGTTTTCCGA